AAACAATTATTTATTGAGTTATTAATTAAAATATAATTATAAAAAAATTGCCATTTTTTTCTTAACACACTGTATATTATATAATATAGGAATAAATAAAGAAATAATGTTTATCTACTTAAAAAAAAAATATTATTTAAAAACATATATAGTATATAATAATAAGTAATAGTCAATATGTATATAGTAATAATTATATTACATATATTTTATATTCTAATATTAAATACGTATATAATAAATAATCAACATTTATTCTTTTAATAAAGATCATAAAACAAGTTTTACCTTTAAAAAATTTATATTTTTTTATAAGACAATTAATCTGCAAAATTTTATATATTGATAATTTTTGTTATCTAAAAAATAAAAAAAAAATAATAGATAAACTACTCTGTGACCCTGGATATTTGACATCACAAAATTGTACATTAACTGTAAGGTGTGTATTAATTGAATCGGCGACATCGCAGTTATGAACCATAAATACAGATCGAAAACAATTTATCAAGAAGTAATAATATTCTGTATCTTCCCATTTTAGTTAGAAACATTATTTTAGAAAAAAAAAACCAACTACACACTTTATAAAAAAGGACCAAAAACAGATGCACATGAGTAGATCAAAAGACGCAGATTGACCATTCCAAGCAAATTTAAATCCACAATTATTTTACGTAACAAATTAGTTTAAATGTTTGATTTGCGGCAAACAGTGTTAACCAATTGATGGGCATCTGTAAATATTCAGATGTAAATTTTTAGCTCAGTGATTACCAGAAATTCTCTGTCTTCATAGTCTCATAACAAACAGACAAATAAACGTGAATGCAACGGAACTCATGCTATGAATGATTTACCTTGTGCTCGCACATAGACCATACAATAAGGATTAGCCGATGAACCTGTGGTGTCAGCAAAAACTTCCGTCTTATCAACCTAAAGAATTAGTTGAAAATAAAAATCGATCAACAAAAGTACCTCAAAATATGGCGAGATTAATTTGAAATTACAACCTCCGTTACATATGAATCGTTGTATTTTAACCATCGATCCTTATCGAAATCATAAATGTATATCCAATAATGGCCGAAAGTCGCTTGACCTGCAGATATGCGTTGAAGGAAGGGTATTAGTTGTCAGAAAAAAATTGATATGTAATAAGTCGAACTGCTTACCGCTGTGTATAAATACCGCGTGTAAGCGATATTCACATTGTTTCAGATCAACATACTGTTGTTCTAATTTAGACCTCAATAAACCTATCCTACATTCGGAATCTGTGATTTACGAGAATCCACCATTATCCTTATGAACCTAGGAAAAAAAAAATTTTTTTTTAAACATGAAAACATATCTACCACTAATCATTGAAGTAACTCGTTCTCCTTCACGCCTCACTTCCGACAAGTTCAAGTCAAATTTGTCATCAGATAGAAACTCGGGGTCATCGTCTCTCATGTTCTGAACGAATTCCGCGGTCGATCTAAGCAAATCGATAGTGGATAATGAGGATTTCTGCATAAAAGGATTAAACGAAGTGATAAGATGATTTAGATATGATCTGCATGTGGAAATTTTAGATCCCATTCTAACCTTATCACACGAAATTTCCTTAAGTTCTTCTTGTAATGAGTCAATCTCCTGTTTCCAAGAACGCGCTTCAGCAATCCTCTCGCGTAAGAATCCTCGATTCCGATCCAAATACCTGTCAAGATATATCACCTCTTCGAAACGGAGGTATGCATTTGATTTATAAATATTTGAGGTTGATCTATCAAATTGCACTCTCTGAGCAAAAATAGCATCCGTTACGTTACGTTACAATTTTCGTGCATTTTTTCAGAAAAATAAAATAAAATATGTGAATAAGCAAATAAAAAAGCATACCTGCACTTGAATTTGTAATATCGGTGGCGCCGTCACGAGTGTGACTTCTCTTTCTGCTTGCGTACCATTAAAATCCACCTAACAAATAAAATAAAATAAAATAAAATAAATAACATCAATTATTTAGTACACCATCATGCCTCCGAAAAAATCCTCATGGAACGGAGTCAAGCATTACGATGAATTCACCGTTGATGTGTCAAAATAAACATCGAGCCCGTCGTACAGATCGCGTCCTTCGGCAACGACTACCAAGTGACACATCAAATGTTAAAGAATCACGAAAATGTCTGATTATAAAACATCGTAAATATTCGAATCACGTAAGAAAAGGATATTAGGTGATTGAACACTTCTTCCTTAATTTTTTCTTCAGGTTCACCAGTGTTCGGTTCTTTGTAACGAAGAATTTGTCTCGAACTCCCGTAAAACAAACTAATCGATAGAATGAACCCTTTTATTGATACGACATACGATATCGTAAAGGAACAAGCAAATTTGAAACAAACCTTTTCACAACATCCTGCTTGTCAGAATCTATGGTAGATTTTAAAGCGGCCTCCAGTTGGAACATAACATTATCCATGCATTCTGCAAAAGATCGAGCGTACAACATATTAACCAACTAAAGTTGGAAATCAATAAATTCGCAGATCGTACAGACCTGTGACATCCTGCTGTTTTCCAAATAACATTCCAGACACTTTTTTTAACTTATCCTCTTTGGTATCATTGAATGACTCTGCCCCGTGCATTTGCACATCAAAAGGACTATTCTCCTTTCCCTTTCCTTTGTAATCGTTCTCTTGGTTCATGAACGTATCCCCCATCTGATAAAATGTATCGTTACCAAAGCTGGTTCCATGTGGAGCTATTCCTGATATTATTGAGTCATTCACAATATTGTTATTATTGAATTCACTTGAGTCTAGTAATGTTAATTGATTGTTGCGAGTGGATGAGGGACCTGGACTCAAATCATCGACTAACATGTCGACTGAATTGGCAGTTGTATCCATAGGAGATCTGGATGAATCATTAGTTTGTTCCTCATCGTTTTTTGCATTCACGAGCGCCAAATATGCTAAATCTGAATCTGGTGTGATGGAACTCCGTGAAGAGCGCATCAACTCATCGAAGAGATGACGCAAAAGAGTGACAACTAAATTGTGTTGTTGCGATCGTAAAAAAGAGAAAGAATATTATGTCAAATGTGTATGCGTCACAACAAATCAATAGAAAATTTTGGCAATAATTTGCTATGCACATTTCTGGGCTCTTTCAACCTCGGCTTTGGAAACTTTCCTTCCTCCAATGGTTATGGATTCCCATTGATCTATCCCATTGATGGACACTGAGTCCGAGGCGAATACCGCTTCTCGTAAATTCCGAATGGTGAAATAATACTGTAACAAAAAATCATCAATCAATCATACTAAAAATGATTTGTGAACCAAAGAATTTGTCGTATTGTACGAACCTGTAACAACGAATTGAGATAACAAGTGTTCCCAATATTGTCCAGTCCCACAGGCCTACCATAAGAAATACAGATATGAGTACAAGAATGAAGAATCTTTCAACGCGTACAAACATCTGCTTACATGTTTGAAAAATAATTGTACGAGTTCGCTTGTGATTCAAAAGAATCGTATCATCAAATTAGACTTTGTAACATCCCGTCGACAATTGATTGAATGTTATTCTTACTATGATAGCTTTCCCCACTTAGAAAATTCTCTATTGCTGAACTATTTCTAGACTTTCCAATTGTATTCAAGGCATCACGCAGCACCCCAACCCTCAAAGGATCATCAAGGATCTAAAAAAGAAAAAGAAGTTCACTGATCAACAACAATTGCGTAATTTTTCATTATATATAATGTCCACAAGTTGTTAGGCTCGAGCTACTTAAAGAAGAATGAAAATTATCGTAATTACATATCTACGATACGCTTCAATTAAAGTTTCATCAGACACTTCGGAACTTGCGCGCATTTCATGGTATGCATCATTGACAGCATTAACTCTAAATTTACCTGATATTATTTCACGAAAATTGGAGCGGTGAGACTCCGAATAAAGATTGTAAAAAGATGAGATGTGATAAAAATTCTTTCATTATTTATGTATACCCATTGATATTTCCATAGTAAAATGATCTTCGAGTAACTCGCTCTTTCTCTCTCTGGTGAGATCAAACACAGCCTGTAAATAAACTGGAGTTTTTTCAGGATTCTCCTTAATAGCAAGTTCATAGGCCCAAACCAAAATATCATCGTCCATATCCGATAAACACCCTAATATCGAACTTGCCGACTTAACGGGCGACGAAGGATCAAAGGGTCTACCATAATTACGAGTGGCATGGTGTTTTTTATCTTTGAATGAGCGCCCAAATATGATGTTAAGCTCTAATAGTTCAAAACAACTGGTAATCATTTATAATATCAAGAATTTTATTAGACAAGTACATTCCGTTCCAAGAACACTGTTCAGTTTTCCCCATGGACGTTCATCTATGTCCGAATTCGAAGTCATCTCATCTGTCATTAGAATACAACTTGTTAGCCCAATCCATGGAAAAGATGATTGTGTTAATTACAAAGGACTGGTAAAAGAAAAATACTAAATCACTCACTCAACTCTAAAATTTTCATGTCTAATTCCTCCAACACATATTTAAATTTCGTGCGAGTCTCGTCGCTTGACGGTGGTGGATGAAATCTTCTAATCTCTTCGTACCCCAATGTGTAACCAAGAGCTTGAAAAAAGGCCCGACTAAAAGCGAAATTTTTTGTCAGTACGCTGCCAAGACGAAATCGTCTAATAAAAAAAAAATTACTTTGCTAGACATGCACAAACCTTGCTTCGTCGTATCCAATCCTTTGCTTAAATGAATTACCATCTATATTCAATGGTTGTCCCCCTTCATCCAGATAATTTTTGACAATTTCTGATAAACATCGTATCGTTTCAGGATAATGTGTTGAACCACCGTTCCGATTTAAACTCCTTGTTCTAGACATTTCATTAAAAATCCACGTCCCCAAGATGGGATTACTAATTTCAACGAACACGCTAAGATCACATATACAGCACCGTGAATATATGCGTAACTCTGTTGCTTCTTCAGTATGAAAGTGGTGTAGGGAATTTTTATGGTTGAGGATGCACATTCTCGGCTCGACGTTCATCTCATTAAAAGCCCCGACCGAAGTAGTGAGCATGAATCGCTTGTGACAGGTTTTACATATAATTCCAGTAACAACCTCATCACCGAATACCCGGCATAGATAAAAGTCGTGAACATGGTTCTTTTCCGCCGTACTATGACGCGTCAACGCCACAAGCCATGCAGGCGGGGTTTTTGCACAACCAGAAAACTCTGTCGGACGAGGAGGAAGAGCAGGTTTTGAGTCTGCAAGAAAAACATTGGATCATTAGTGAAAGAAGAGTATGTACATATATATTGTTACTATTTGTCGAATCTGCTGTCCATTGACAAAGAAGCAGAAAATGATAGGTCTAACCTTGTTGAATGGCCATTTTCAAAATCGTAAAGCTTTTCAATAAAATACTTGATGATCGTTAATATAATTCTAGGTATATCACTAATAACAAGCCAGTAAAGATATAGAAACAATTCAAGAGTTGATCTAGAGATCGATAGAGTGTAATCTTTAATACCTTCTACATTAAATAAACTTCGCTCAGTCAAGAGGTGATGCGTAGGGATCTTTGTAAAACACCGATCACATTTTCCCACTTACATAGATTCAAAGTAAAGAGCAATTCTTGTCACATTTGTTCGGACACTGTTGTTTTAAATCTTGACAATTTTCATTGTTTTTTGACGCCGGATAAACTAACCGATTTACGTTATCATAGTTCAAAATGACACGTGACAACTCAAATTTGGTTTTAATCAAATATTTAAAAACAGGTAAATTTTTTTTATTAATTAAATAAAAAATATTATATAATTAATATTTTTTTAAAAAAAAAACAAAAGAAACTATTTAATTTTGAAAGACTAATTCTTTTTTAACAATTTATTTTATTATAAAAAATAGTATTAATAAGATTATTTGAATTTGAATTAAAGTATTTATTTGTTACAATAATTTTTTTTTTTCAATTTTATTATAGTTAAGAATATTTAATTGTTTTTTTTAAGTTTATTTAAATTAAATATATTATACATTATATATACGTATATACAGTGATAAAAAAATTGTTATAATTTTACAACCGTTGCTCCTAATCACATGAATGATATATTATTGGATAGTTAAAAATCATGACTTTAATCAAAAATATTTTTAATATGATATGTAATCACTATTTGCTTCTATAACAAGCTCACAATGCCACCTCATTAATCGTACTAATCCAATTAGAGAAGATAACAGGATATCTTGCTATTCTTGTTACATATATTGCTTCAATTTGTTCAAATCTCTTAGCATTTACTTTTCCACATTATTTTTTATAATACTTCATAAGTTTTCGATAGGATTTAAGTCAGACTATTGGCCAGCCAATCTAAAACATAAGATACATTCTCTTCAAGAAACTTTTTAGTGATTTTGCTCATATGTTTTAGATCTTTGTCTTGCTGAAGCTTTCACTTGTTTCCTAGCATTTGTCAAATCTCAAGTAAGTATGTACGAAGGATTTCTATATAAAATTTACTATTTATTATATCTATAAAACAAAATAAATCAACTTTGTTATTTTATAAAATCACCTTCAGGTATTAATTTTTTTTCGGTTTTTTGGTAAAGTATAAATTAGTCATGAATTTCTATATCACTGTTTTACAGTGTTTCTAAAAAGGCAAAAGGCTGTTTTGTCAGTGAAAACAATCTGATTCCAATTGTAATCTATTTATTTTGGGTTCCAAATTACACAGTTTTTTTTTTGCAAGTCGGTGAGTATTAGTGTTGCCAAAGGAACATTTTTTTATATCCAAGATCAACTAAGTATCATTCAATTGTTTGGTATAATATATCTATACCTTTATTTAACAATTTTATTGATAATGTTAATATCGAAATAAAAGGCTCCCATCGAATATATTGCCTTATTGCTCGCAATATCGGTCCTGTAATTTTTTTTTATCATTTTCCAACATGTCTATATTTTACAGATCCTGTTTTTTCAATTTTTTTAAGATTATAATAAATTGTAGACAGGTCAATATTTGTTCGCACATGTATTTCATTTGTGTTCCATATACTATTGTTCCATAAATATAATATATTTTGTCATTTTGTTTTGTTGCTAGATTTTGGTATTCTTGCTAAAAAAAAAAAAAGTTAGTATTAAAAGGGTATAAAAAAATTTTCAAATGTTAACTACTTATCTGATATTTATAATTATAAAATTATAATGTAATAGAATTTAAACTGGTTGAATTATTGATACTTATTTAATATAAATATTTTTCCAAAAGCAATTGGACCACACTGTATATTAATAATATTTTTGTTTTTAAAAATTTATATTAGACCTATGGGTTTATAATATAGTAGTAATGTTCTATAGGTCACTAGAAGAAAGTTCAGGATTTAAACTCACCCGGTTATAAAAATTTATCATTTTTATAATTGGTTAATCAGCTTTCAATTCATGTTATACTCAATCAGCCATAAATTAATTTCTAAATTTAGTTAGGCTGTATAAAGATAGGACCTCTGGTCTTCTCAATAATTGCAGGCTGAAAACAGGTCAAAACAAGAAAGGTTGCATAAGGAAAGGCTTCTGGTCTAACTCCGATTATAAGCTTATATTCTCTTCTAACATGGCAGACTCTATAATAAGAAGCATATTAATTGAATTAGACAACTTTAAAGAGGATTACTGTAGAAATATGAACACATGGATGAAGCCTATAGCCACTTTATAGGAGTTGTGCTCTGCTTGGTATTCATACCCCTAGATTTGGTAGCTTAAGCCAACTAAGAGCCTATAGAGTGTCTATTAAAGGATTTAGAAATTATGTCTTACTTGACCTGATGGTCTTTAGATTTGGTAGTATGTACCAACTATAAAAATAACTTTTGAAACATTTACTAGAAAATATAAAGAAATAAGCCTATAGGTACTATGGTCATATAAGCTGGAGATGTGAACATGATAAAGAACTTAGTAATAATTAACATGTTAAAATTAAGGTTAGACCTTACTAAACATAAACCAAAGTATAAATACACTTATGAAGTGTTAAGTTAATATTATGGTAAAAAAAGCAGGTAGTGTCAGTTAATATTAGCATTAGTTAATAGATTGTTTACGTATATAAGAACTTATAATCCTAACCAATTTCATAATAAAGCCATGTGTGTATCGCACTTTAGCTTTTAAAAAAATAAAATAAAAAAAAATAGAAAATAAAAATTTATACAGTATTTTATAATAATTTAAATTAGAAAATTTTTTTGTAAATAATTTAAAATTTTTAAAACAAAAATTAATATTTATAAGATCAAAAGCTAGATTTATACAAATAAATAAAAAGTAAATAAATTGTTAAAAATTTTTTTGAATTAAAGTTTTTATTATTTTTAAAGATAAATAAGGCTTGTATTTATTTATTTTTTAATGTTAAATGAAACATTTCTCATGATCTTTATTAATATAATAAAATAAAAATTATTACATAATTAATATTAATATATAAGATACATTGCTATACATGTCAGCCTACTACACGATTAGTTATATCTTTAATAAAAAACCCTTAAGCAGGGAAAAAAAGAGGAACTATTTAATCTTAGAGTGCTAATGTCTTCCTAATAATTTATTCTATTCTGTAAAGGCATGAATAAGTTTTTAGAAAAAAGTTTAAATGTAATAGCAGTTAGTTTGTGTTGATATGTTTGTTTGTTATCATTTGGTAAATTGTTTTTTTGTGTTTTGTTGCAATTAGTTACATTTTTGTTTGATTTGTTGTTGTTTCTTCTAAATTTGGTATTTTGTGATATGTCAAGGAAGTTTTTCTCTTCAATCATATCTTTGTTTCTTGGTATCAAGATGTGTTGATAAATAAGTTCAAATATTGCATTTTGTATTTTGTTAAGAAGTTTAAAATCATGTTGTGTTGATTAGAAATTGTTGAAAAGATTTTTGAGCTGCAATATACTTGTTACAAAATTGATTAAATGGATAGTAGTGTTAATTGTTTTTTGGGCTAGATGAGAACTAAAATTTTTGTTGTTTTTGAATTTTTTTGTAAGCAAAATTTGAATATCAGATAGAATTTTTTTGATAATAGCTGTATTATAGATACAAAGTCATATATGGTGAGTGGTTTCTGAGGTAGAGTTGTAACATGGGCATGTATTATTTGTATAAATGTGTGGTAATGTGATGTGGAGAAGAGATTTGATTGGAAATGTGTTTGAGAGAATTTTGAGATAGAAGTTATAAATTTTGAATTGATGTTGGTTTGTTGGAATTGATATGTTTTTGAGAAAAGTTAGAATATTGATTAAAAGTGAAAGGTTTGGTTTAAATGTTATTTGAGCACATTGAAAGTAAATTATTTCTATGGAGTGGATGGTTTTGTTTATTTGTTTGATATATTGTCTTGTTAATGGGATGTAATTTTTATCTATATCAGTGAGAGTGAAATGAATTAGTAAAGAGTCAATTATATTGATTTGTGATAATTGCAAGTTTGTTAATTGTGTTTTTTGTATTGTGGTTGTAGGTTTAAAAAAAGTATGGAAAATTTGGAGTGTTTGGATTATGTTGTGGATATTTGTTATAGTGGTGAAGTATAGGGTTTTGCATTTTTTCTTGTGATTGTTAGAAGAAGCAGAAAAGGTTTTATGATTTAGTTTCAGATATTTGATGAAGAAATAGTATTTTTTTGACTTATTGGATAATAATATTATAATTATTGTATGGAGGAATAAGAGAAAAAAATTTGATTTGAAGTTGGTTGTATATGATTTGTGATATTGAATAAAATTCTATATAACTGATGTGACGCTGGTTTGATATTTGTATGTTAGTAAGATTTCGAGAGGAGTGTTGATATATTGTAGATAGGAATTGCAATGGATTGAATCGAATCGGATTTTAGTTAAATTCGATTTAATTCATTTTTAGATATACAATTCGAATTCGAATTGGATATGATATAGTTTGATTTAATTTGATTCGAATCTGGTTCGAATCTAATTCTACTTGATTCAATTTGTATCTGATTTGATTTGATTTGATTTGATTATTTTGTCAATAGTAATTTTTATTATAATATATTTACTTTAATTTAATTTAAAAGGTTGTTAATTGAAAATTTTTTATTTTTAAATATAAATTAAAATTACTGATC